TATGTTGCTGAATGAGGATATTGTTCACTCAAATATGTAACGACAGTATATTTTTAGCCAATCGAATCTATATCCGGCCTCTCACGACCAATCGGTGGCTGTACATGTTTAATGTACAAGGTATGTTCTTTACCGACTAATGTATCGTCCAATCACCGATCGAAATTCAATAATCTTGTCGTTCAGCCAATCCCAACACATTAAATGTTGGGCTCTCCAATAAAGTAATCCCAATCCTCTTTCAATTTGTCGATTCCCAGGAGGCTGCGGGAAACGGTTAAAATTTACATACCTTGCACTTTCTGGTATGTCAAATGGTCAATTGCAATAGGGAGAGTTAATACATAAATCATCTTGCTTTTCAAATTTTGCTTTTCAACACGAAAAGCAAAAGCAACTTGAACCTGTGAACAAGCCAATCAAATAATTAATAGAAACAACCAATCAGTCCAGTGGAAAGTACTGGAGCAAGTCAGTTTTTAGAAGCGAGCATGGAGAAGGCGAAGCGAGAAGCAACGATAAAGTCGGAGCGTTTGGCAATGCTTGTATTTCTCCGTATACCAGAGAACTTTGTTCGACAGGGCAAGCGAACAAGAGCAAGACAAATGAAAGGAGGGCAGAAACTGACACGAGCACACGGCCTTCAAAGAGTAGCGGAGTACGTCAACGAGGTTGCTCGTGACAGTGCGCGGCCATGGTCAGCTCAGCACGCAAAATCGAGGTATAGAATCCGTATATATATTCATAATCATTAAAACTATCAATCGACAAGTAGATATGACGCATATGTTGCATCGTACCGACGAGCTCTCAAATGGTCTGGGCCAAGCAACAGCGGCCGTGGCCTGACTGACTTGGACACCAAGAAAAGTATATAGCGTACATGTTATCAACTATCAATTATCAAATATCTCACTCTTCGGTAGAAATCTTTACAATTGAAAGTAAATTGAAGAGCATTTGCCCGTACTACAACGAGATGGACGCTCTGTTTGGGGGGCGACAAAATTTTCGTCCATCTTACATTTTTGAGACTAGTCTTCGCGGTAAATATATACATCTCAAATATATATTTGTATATATATAGTTAATTTCGATGGAGCAATTTAGATACAAATGATGAGAGCAAACAATGCGACAAGTCGTTTCTTTATGATGCAATTGGCAGCGACGACGACCTCGATGACCACGACTACTCTAAGGACCAACGCGACTTAACAACATCGGGCAATCCCAACGACGACCCAGACGCCGACGAGTATTGGGTATAGAACCATGCTGCCGATCCTGGGCGGCAAGCCGACGCCCCACTTGACCACGAAATTGCAGCACGTCACACAGGCAAGGGCAAAGGAAAATCCAAAGTCGTCCCACGTAAGTTCCCAACGCCGGAGAAGCGCCTGCCCCCTCGAAAGGACTTCTCGTCCATGTATATGGTTGCGCAGAATGAAACGACTCAGCTGAAACGTGAGAAGTTCGAATACATGAAAGAAAACAACAAGAGCATTCAAGCTGCAGCCGCCGTCATGGATTTGCAACGTGCCAAGGCGTCCTTCGTCGAAAAAATAGTAGCGTCAGGTGTAGTGAACGCAGAAAAAATCCGCGAATTATTGTCGATTGCGTTTGCGCAAGAATAAAGAATTTTCAATGAACAATATTCAATGAACAATATTCGTGTTGATAATATTATTCTTCCAACCTAAGTAGTTGAGTAATTCGGACTTGATGGTTTCGCGCCACATAAGGGAACTTGCAGCAATTGGAGTATTGCTAGCTACCACAGGTCGAGGCTTTTCCACAAACGGTGATACTGTGTCTTCGCCGTTGCGAAGTCGGTTTACAACGTTGTGGAGGATACAGCAGGCCAAGATCCAATCGCAAACATCTTTCACATCACTTCGCTGCCTACCAGACCAAAATATAAATATATTTAATAATATAGACTGACAAATATAGGACAAAATATATATAATACCTGATACAAATAGGAAGTGCCGACAAGCTTGACCAGCGCCCTTTCGAGATCCCGTTGCCGTGTTCGCAGACCACCCGCATACTCGCACGACCGGTGTTGAAAGCGTCGTTGCCGCTGGCGCTTGAGTAGGGCAACCGATACGGCGTCAGCATGCGCATGTCGAGGGAAAATCCTGAATCGCCCGCTTGGTATTGGTTGGCGTAAAAAAAACCGTCTGGACGCAGGGCCGGCGAATATGATGCCCACACAGTTGAGTCGTGAACGAATATGATGCCCACACAGTTGAGTCGTGAACCCGGCCAGCCAGCGATGACGTGTCGGATTTGGCGTTTGTAATCAAACGTTAAAAGAACATTCATGGAGTACTCCTTTTTTCGACTGTAATATACCTCGCCGTTCAAAGCTGGTTTTCGGTACAAAACAATATGTGTGCCATCAGTTGATAAAATACAGTTACGAAATCCATATCGTTCTGCATTATAACTGGCAAGTTGACCACGCTCACAATGATTAGGCCAATTGATCTCGAAGTGGGATAATGACACTAAAGCATGAATAACACGTTTAGTGTAAAGATGAACAGTCCCAATCCCAATTCCTTTTGCTCGTAACACCATCCCTGCGGACGAACCAGTGCCATTATGGCCGATGTGGTGCAGTGCGCAGGCAAGCTGTACCCATACCGGTCGTTGAGCTCTATTGCTCGTCGGTTGAAAGATGGGGTTCAGTTCAATCAACTGAACAATATATGCAAATGTGCTCTGACATACACGAACCTCTTGTACAAAGTCCCCAACTGCCATAAATGGTAGAATGGATAGTTGCTCTAAGGATCGAGGGAGCGAAGCACGGGAGAACATACACGTGAACAAAGTATAATGTATCGAAGTCGTAGAAATTCATCAAGCATTTTCGACAATGAAGTGATCTATGCGGATACGGATAGCGGTTGCGGCTGAATCGTTGGCCTATATTGACTCTCCTTGCTTTTCGTTCAACAATAATAAAATACACACTAACGTTACTGTACATGTACCGCGACACCAAATCAAAATGATGTTATTCCAAAAGCAAAAGCAAATCGAAAATTCCTATACTAGGTATTGACTCTCCCTAATATTGTGGTAATAATTCCAGTTAACTATACAGCGGTGAACCATTCTCAATTGTCATTTGAACGATGTTGGCCACGGCGTAGACACATAGAGGGTGAAGGTGTAGCTCATGTCGAAATATTTGACGCAGCGCGCCAAATTGTTTCAACTGAGCATTCACCGTTTCATGGGGCGACATTATAGCTTTTGGACGTCGACTTGTCTGCACCTGAGTGTTGGGTGTGACAAAACACGCTTCGCCCAAATAGCCTCGATCGGCTAACGCACTCTCATTCAGTGAAAGACCAGGAACGAATGCACTTCGAGCCAAGGTCAGATCTAGCCAGCTACCACAAGGAACACCGCCGTTGATCCATACTCTTTGACCAGTACGAATACAAATCCCAATTTCGTGTCGCATACGTCTTCTCGTCAACCCCCGCAAGAGCTGCATGGACTGTTTCTGTTGCGTATAGCTTTAGGAACATCAATGCCCACAATAGATGGGCAACAACTGTCTCCTCCAGATTGTGTTGCTTTTCCACCCAAATCAGCGTGAAAATGTTGGGGTCGACTCCAAACAGAGAACGAAATCGTCAGTTGCAAAAGGGGGTAAGGTTGGATGCATGGCGCCGGCGAAGGATTCTTGTGGCTGCATTCACTATGTCATCATCGAGGGCATCGATCTGGGCCATCTTTGGTGATGTGTGGTGTCGCACTGTCGTCGAAGCGTTACATGTTTTTATTCTTAACATTTAAATATCATATTATTTAAAAATATATATTTAAATGTTAGTATATCCAAGGGTATTCCCAGCATCGTCCAATGACTCTAGATTTGCAAAATACACTTATCAATTTGTCGAACTGGTATCAATAGACACCGAGTTAGACAGATCAACCCTTATTAATAATGCTCCATTAACGTTAGTTCAACAGCAATTGCTTGCAATTCCCACAAGGACCAACGCTACGCCAAAGTTCCCAATATGTAATCTAGTTCATGTCATAACCCGTTGGTGCGTGGCCATGAATGGAGCTCTCACAGTCAGGTCCTTCATTTACTAATTATAGCCAATCAAAACCAATTGCGTAATACTATTAATACTTCGTGTCGTTTTGCAAATGTTTGGAAATATACGCATAACCATGAATCCTGTATCAGACTGGACAACAGATCTCAATCACGTGGCAGTTTAAACCGCATTTTTGACGTGAAATCTAACGTTTCCCCGACTTTCGGGTACTGTGCAATTGAAACCCCGCTGGTCTTTGTCATGAAATGACGACAGTACTGTATTGGATTTCGCCATGTCGGGGGTCGATTAATTCTATATTTCGGAGCCCAGCTACTGAATCAGTGGCTATTGAAACCCCCAGCCTCTCAATTAATTTCATGACGCTTGTCAAACTGCAGTTGGCCTAGTCGAAACCGCCGAGTGTAACGTACTAAGTAGTAGATTCACTTTTGAATTCAATGCAATTGACACGCGCCAAAACCTGAAAACTGTACAGTAGCCTATATATGTCGGGGGTTGCATACAAGGCGGTTGGAGGTGTAGTGTAGGTAGCGGCAGCAGCAACTTGGCGTCGACGGGATTCGGAGTCACCGGAACTTCATGGCGCGCCATAAGAGCGGCCCATACAGAAAAGGGAGTGGCGTGGGAACCCATGACTTGTTGAAGGATAGGCGTGAGGGAGTTGAAAAGAAATACCTTAGCTTGTCCGCGTAGGGCAGCGAGGGACTCCGCGATATGTTCATCCAGAACCTGCGCATTAAGTCTTGTTCGAGGCGTTTCACCGTTGCAAGGCGCTGTTCCAAGGCGTCACCAGCATAACCGTAGGTGACTACTTCGCATCATTGCGTATCTTGTCGACCTGGAGTTTGGCCTAGCTGATGGTGTAGGCGTCGGTTTCAATGCGCGTGGGGCAGTAGGTCTCATTTGTGTAGAGGGAGAAGAAGCCTGCGGTCATGGCAAAGTGGTGTGCCACGCAGCATAGAACTTGTAGGCGTCGTCGAGGAGAATACCGGAGTAGGCGGTAATGGTCGAAGCAGGAGGGCTCTGTTACGAAGCAAGAAACAGGAGGTGTAGCAACTTTGCGCAGAATGTCCAAGACAAACCAAGTGTGTGGGACAGAGGAAAACGAAAAGTGACATTCAGTCGTTTACAAACTATCTAGCTTCGTTCCTATTGGCTAAAACTCAGCTAAAGGGACACACTGCCTTGTGAGAATCACCGCTCTTTTCCTTGTGGTAGAGCCGTGATTGGTGAGCAATCACTAGGGTAGGGTTGCGACATGAAGAATATACAGTACATGCAGGTATAAAGCGACCACTGTCTCGGCCTGTCAGAGTTGATAGACTAGGCGATAGAGTTTGGGAGAAATAGGCGAGGACAAAAGGCGTGAACACAGGCGAGGGAAAAGCACCACTTAACACAGTGCAAGTGGTTTCACTAGCACTTGGCCATGTCCAGCAGGACTACAGTCCGTCCTTGTATCGACACAATTCAATTGCCAATTTCCACCGACCCATATGACCATCCTTTACACGCCTACGGCTACCACCTCCGCTGTTTACAGTGGCCTTGTGTTCAGATGGGGCAATAGCCAGGCTAGTAGGTTTGGCAGCACGCCGCCATGGTCCCTTCGACGCGCTGTGCGGATGTCCAACTGCTAAGATAGTGCATCAATCTTCCGAACGGCATGAAACTTCCGAACGATTCGAGTTTTATCCAATCAGATTACTCGAATTTGGCGTAAACATCACTGATTGGTAGTGATAATATTCATGGCAGTAATTATATACAGTAATTATATACTTGGAGTTCACACGAAAACCCAACCAATTATAATCACGCCAAACTAAATTAATACGAAGTAACGATTAGCAGCATATACTTGACTGTGGGTACGGGCGTCGAGCTCGTGGATGTTGCCTCGGTCGAAGGCGATTGCCATCGCTTCGACGTTTGTTGACCTTTCCAAACCAACGGTGAGCTGTAAGACCCCCAATTGGTTCAAAATTGATTTCGTACCTGTGGTGTGTGGCCGATGTCGTTGCCTCGTATCTTCTCTCGCATATACATGTAAAAAGCGAATGGAATCAAGGACGCCGTTGGCACGGAATCGTGTGTCAAGACAAGGGGTACGCGAAGACATTCTGTTCTTACCTGCGAAGCCGGGTGTGCGCAAACGCGTCAAGACCAACGGCGAGTGGCATTCCATCGAGGACCTTCATGCGGCCCCAGCGAAATGGCAAAAGCGAAGTGATTTTTTTACTCGTTGTTTTTAAATTTGATCCAAATTTAATTAATACAGCTTTGAATCCAGTGGAGAATGCCAGTATTATATTGAATCGAATTTTAATTCGTATTATAATTCGATATATACAAATCTCCTCATGTTTGAAACCGTTCGGGGAATATGTGCACGTAAAAATTCAATATGCTTTTGTTTCGTCATATTAATTTGCCTACAAATATCAAATCATGCCAAATCGCAGTTGCTTCATATGTAAAATATAGCCCTTGAATTATATTTTCTTTCTATGCTAAAAGCTCAATATAAAAAAATGGTAATCGCAAGCACTCAGACTTTAAAAATTCGACAAAATCTGCTTCAAAAATCGTTCGGATGATTGATGCGTTACTTACTACAGTGCGCGAGGACGTCAAGTTCTAAAAGTGTCGAGGTTGATTCACTTGAAACCTTACACTGAATTGGCACTTGCTAGTTCTAGGAGGTAGTCAAAGTTATGCTGACAACACTGCAACTTTGCACAACTCGCGCGCGATTGTTGAAACTGACAAACAATTCGTCAAAGGTCTCGCTTAGCAATAAGCCGCTCGTGGCCAACGAGTTGCGGGGATGCAGCCCTCTAAACAACTCGACGAACAGAGACGATCTCGTGTCTGCAGAACTTCTGGAGCTAAGGCTTCAATCCACCTGTTCATATCGGCTTCGGCCACGCGGCCATGATAAATCGCCTCGTTCTCGTGCGAATTGAAATGCGCTCGACTTGTATTGACTACAGTATTGGACAATCCATCAGCGTGATTTCGATGCCCCCACAGTACTGTACGTCCACTTGCCGCTTGAGTTTCTCGAGAAGTACTTCAAATGTGTGGTGGTTAGCACCACAATACGCAACTTCCAGTTCTTGTCGGTCGCACCGATCGACGAACTCCATGGCGGTTGATCGATGGCCTTGGCTGTGTTTCGGATGCTGACAACTTGACGAACGTGACAAGGCCTTGACTGTGTTTCGGATGCTGACAACTTGACGAACGTGACAAGACGTGGAATTATGTCCATGGCGGGTGATATATTTGGATACCGCAGCGGCTATATGAGCCTAGCTTCGATAAAACGACAAAAAATGACATGGGAGAGCCCGAAATGTATCATTTATACCCGTCCGATCTTAGCTTTGTTCTGTCATCTGAACCAACCTCAATCAGTGCATTTTCGAGTTGAAATAATCCACGAGAATGCACTTGCGAATGAATAAATAATCGAAGTACTACGTAGTATTAGTAGCATATTATTACCAGTAATGCGTAAGGTGATTCATGTAATTTCCGCCCATCACCATCATCAAACGAAGATGATTGGATAAAATTGGGTACTCAGGTAAATAGTACCCTTAGCATTTAATATTTGCATTCTTTTGCAAAACATAAACAATTATGGAGATGAATAAAAATTCGCATACTTAATACAAATATCAAAATAAAGATGTTCAAGCGAAGAATAATTTGTAACTATCGCGCTCATATTCACGCCGTTTGATTCCGTCGAAGTAGCAGATTGAGTTCCTGGTTGACTCGCATGTGACAGCTTGAATAAAGATGCATGTATCCCCTCGACAATGGTACACCACGATTCGAGACCCATATTCTTCAGACAACTCATGTAATATCATAATTACAATTACTTCCAGCTGTAAATAGCATACCTTGTACACTTTACAACATTTACTAACAAGAGGTTCTGAGAATTTCGGTGGTCAAATCTGTCATACATTATTCATCTACATTTACATAGGAAAATTACAGAATTGAAAAATTCGTCGAGCAAAATGGACAAGCGATACAGCGATGGGTCCTGCATAAACGAATAAAGCTCCTCACGACCTCAAGAATACATGTTTTAGCAACCTCATCACATACTTGCGCCATCACATACTTGCGCGATGAACATGGCATAAGATATGTCGATGAATACTACTATAATATCAATACTACGTACAGTAGTATTTAATACCTACTAGTACTACCTCACTGTTAACATCGTTTGGACAAGAATGACGGTACTTTGTTGTGGTAGAGATTCCATTGCAAGAGACCATTGCGAAAATACTCACTGGCACTTTTGCTTACCAAAACTGGTAAAAACGCTTCTGAATTGACAGTGAGCTCTGATCAGGCAAGTTCCTGTAACACACCGCCTAACTCACACGACGATGCACATTCCAGCGCTATGCCCAATGCGTTCAACATAGCATTTCCTACAAATTTACATCGCACCACGACTTTACCATCCAGTTTTCAACCCCCCGCCCAACAAGCTCAAACTCTTCTTGGAGGATAGAATATTGCCACATAAGAATTGCTGATGACCACATAGGAATTGCTGAGGACCACATAGGAATTGCTGAGAGCCACATAAGAATTGCTGAATCGCACATGCTGTTTGCTGAAGGAAACATGAGATTTGCTGAATTGAATATAGAGTATGTTACACAACGAGATCCACTTCGGCAGGCAATGCGTTATGAGAATTTCTGGACACTTGTGACTACTATCAATGTGATTGGTTATTAACAGTAAACTCACATTTCAATGTGATTTGGCTAGTGTATACTGTACTACTCTGTTCCATATTTTAGGCAGCATTTCATATTATCTTACTTTTTAACCTATTTTTTGTATGCAACTTTAATTATAGTACATACTTGTAGTTTGTATAACCGTAATATAAATAATATACTAAAATAGGTCCTAAATATTCAGGATGTAAAACCTCCAACATGGTTGCCTTGTCGACACCTTAACAGGACGAGTTAGCACATTCAAGCCATGCCAACACTGTGGCGACCTTACTAGTCTCGGTCATCACGATGGTAGTCTTCACCGTGATAACTAGTGGAGAGGGCAGGAAGCAGCAGCAGACACGTGTGTGGATGGAGGAAGAACTGAAAGTATATTAGTTCTAACGGGAGAGAAAAACAGCCATTCAGACTACACTATGATTGGCCACGACATCTGTGATGTTTCGTGACAAATGTCTGCGCTGTCTTCTACCTGAGGAAAAGCCTCTAAAAGGCACAAAAACCTCCTACACAGCTAGCAGAATGCTGCTACCTGACTGAAAGGGCAGTGGGGATGTTCTCTAACAGAACAGGGTGTTCTGACTTTACTAATAGAGATCAAGTTGAACTCTGGTAATATGAGAAGGTATTGTGCTTTCCGGTTAAACTAGTCAATTGTGAGCCATTGTGAAAATCGCATACAAACAGCCGCGATGCTACTGTTTGATTGGATAACGTTAGAATTTCGATTTTTGGGCAGAAATTGGACATCAAACTCAGTTTTCCACAACTGTCTGGGCAGTACGACGAGGTGTAGTGACTACACCTCGTCGCACGCTGCGGTAGCGCGGGCGTCCAGTTGGTGTACTTGAGATGTCTGTGTGTACATTCGGTGTGCGTATGTGCTGGGTATACGTAGAGACTCTCATACGAGGCCCTACGCGCTCAGGTGTTAGTGCTCGTCCAGTGACTCAGCTCACGAAACTGCGTCATAATTGGGTGATTATTATCGACTTTTTGTGAGGAAAATTCCACTTTTTGTCATTGACAGCTGTGAGGTCATTTCGCAGACATTCGGATCGGGGGGCGATTTAAGAACAGCCCGTGGAAATTTTGAGTAGAACACACAATAATGATTGGCGCTAATGTGCATGATAATGATTGGCGCTAATGTGCATGATAATGATTGGCGCTAATGTGTATGTTTCGCTGTTAGATTGTGATACACCAAAGCGAGGTAACGTTAGTGTAAGTCGGAACGAGGGAAACTCGCACTTGGTAGCGTATGAAGGTGGCGAAACGCGGTCATGGTTAATTGAGTTTGGACATTCCTCCGCGAGGGCCGACACTAGAACCACATGTTCCGCTTCGCCAATTGTAACGCGCCTGCTCGTCCAGGGGCGGTGTGTAATCTTCGGTTTTTACTTCGCTCAACGCTTCATACCTCGTGCTTCGACCGATCTTCTTCGAAGTTCGGTCCTCGTCTTCGTACGCAGCCCTTGTTATCCGGATTCCCCAGGGAGGGACGGATAACTCCTTGCGGAAATAATCCGGGGAATCCGGGGATCGAACCCACGACCTTTGAGTTAAGAAACCGATGCTCTACCACCTGAGCTATAAACCTCCATTGACAGTGAGCTATTCCCCCCCCGAAACGCGGTCATGGTTGCAACGATGATATTGCACATGTTGAGTTTTCTTTACATTGAAGATTAGTATACTTTTAGAGTAGCAAATTGTAAAAAACTACCCAACAGTTACTGAATAGGTTACGTTAAGTTACATGTGTATATTTCCGTGGTACAACCAACGTTCCCAAATGAACTTCATAGTATTGCAATATTGTATACTTCCGAAGTAGCAAATTATAAAATACTACCTGGTCGTTTCACACTTGGGCATTCTGTCGACATGGAGGATGATGTCGCTGCTCACAATATTGTGTTTGGCAAGGGCCATGAATACGTCCAGTTCAAGATAGGTAGCTCCATTACTTCTGCAGAGATTTCCTCCGCTCACATACTACACTACAGCACTGCCTCTGGCCAGCGCAAGGAGCCATTATGCTGCCACAGATTCATTCTGCAGCCTGAGTTATGGACATAATTGTTGTGGCCCCTTGGACCCATCCATTTCGAGCACTTCCGGGGCATACATATACTTTACACACATACTACACTACAAAACTAACGTTAGATCAGGTTAGTTGAACGAGCCATTACGCTGCCACATATTCACTCTACAGCCTGAGTTATGGACATAATTGTTGTGGCACCTTGGACCCAAGCACTTCTGGGGCACACATACACTTCACACATATACTGTATTACATTACATAACTAGATCAGGACAGTTGAACGAGCCATTGTGCTGCCACAGAATCACTCTACAACCTGAGTTATGGACATGGATGTTATGGCCCCTTGGAGCCATCCTTTTCGAGCACTTGTTGGGCACACATGCACTTCACACATATACTACATTAAAGAACTACCTCTGGCCAGTTAAACGAGCCATTGCACTGCCTCAGATTCACTCTACAGCCTAAGTTATGGAAATGTACTGTACGTTCCTGTCGTATGCACTTTTATTCTACTGTATCCCTTGCCACCATCTGATCATTGATTACTCCTGACTACGTAGTGTACGTACCAACGATTCAGATGTAATACAATTCCCCTTTTAAGTATCTTGATGCGCAGCCGCATCACTCGAGATTCTACCTCAACACATGAGTTGACAGGTGGCGTCTGTTCTGTGCTTTTCAGCAAAATTTATGTGGCAGGAATGTCAACTCCAATTCATGACGATGAAGGCGTACTATTATAGTTTATACAGACAAAACAATATCTGGAGATATGCGGGCCAGGACTTCGCCCGGGTTATTCACAAGTGCAAAGTGCAGTTTTGTAACCGATTCGTTTCATAGAACAATGAAACCGTTCGGTTTCACGTTGCCAATGCCGCAGTGGTGAACCGTCACTTGGCAACCACAAAACCATGGGCGGAGTATGTAGCTATTGGACGGTGGTCGTGCCTACAAAGTCCCCTGCAGAGGCCATGGCGGAGCAGTGGTTGTTTGCGCTGCCCATGGGAAACAACTTCTTTGCTCGACTGGACTGCATCCGTTTCGACCGTGGGTGGCTGTTCTTGGCTTGCTGCTTGGTTCAATTCTGCGCCGGATTCATTTACTCGTTCATGATGCTCGCCGACAGTTTGGACGTGTATTTCTACGGCAAAGTGACTAAGGCGTCCAGTCGCGTGATGCTGCTGGCGTATGTTTGCTTGGGGGTGTCCGCCGCCCTCGCCGGTCCGTTTGTGGAGCGTCGGGGGCCTCGGTATACCATGGTGGTGGGAACTGTAGTTGTGGCGTGGGGCCAAGTTTTGTCCCAGCTGGCCATTTCGTACAAGACGCCGCTCTTGCTCCTCCTCGGGTACTTCATATCATGCGTTATTGCAGTGCTAAGTTGTGTTGTTTATAGTTTTGGAGTGTTGGGGGGACTAGGCTTTGGCCTGCTTTTGATTGCGTCGATCGCAACAGTACAGAAATGGTACCCCGACATGCGAGGCGCCGCGTCTGGACTGTGCATTTTTTCCTTTGGTGTTGGAAATGGGGCGTTTATCAAGGCTACGTCAATGCTGCTGAATGTGCCGGTGGGGGCCATTACAGTGGTGCTCACCGGCCAAGGCATGACGAAAGTGTTTTGGACCACAGGTACGCCATATATTAGCAACCCCGAAACCCCCACTTAAATATGGGTAGGCGTGTTCATTGTGGGAGTGTTGGTCGTTTGCACGCTGGTGCTTCGAACGCCACCTGTATCGTACACTGTCAAAGGGAAAGACATTCATAATGTCGATACACACCGAGCCCCCAACCCCTCGCTGGTACAAGATGAGTACCTAAATGTTGGTATGGTACACATTTATATGTATATAATACTGATTGACACATATTTGTAAATGATAGGAATGACGCTGGTCAACTATACGGTGGTGCAGCACGAGCTGAACGGATCCGATGGATTCTACTTCCAGCAAGTCAAAGCTATGACGCTGCTCCAGTGCATCGCTTCGACAGATTTCGTCTGTTTATACGTGGCATTTACAGCGAATATCATGCCGATTTTGATCTTTTTGCCGGAAATTCGACAATTCGCCATTCAAATCATCGGGATGCAGACCCAAGACCAAGTGAATTCGTTCTTCGTCAACATTTATGGTATACCGTACATATACGTTATATATGTACAACCCATGCATACACATATTTTTCTAGTTGGGAACCTAGGCGGTCGGCTCGCCGCCCCGCTGCTGTCGGACCTGCTCATTCGCGTGTCTTATGCCAACCCAGCTTATGCAAGAAAGCTCATGTTTCTGGGTCTGTTGGTTCTGCAGTGCCTTGCCTTGATCTTTCTACCGAGCCAGCTGCACAACCCCATTGCCGTCCAGCGCCTAGCCAGCGTCCTGACCTCGGCAGCAGGAGGGGGCCTGGCCCTCATCCCGTGCTTCATCACCGACATGTTTGGCGTGTACAATGCGGGCACCATGTATGGAGTGATCTGGACCTGCTGGACCCTGGGGGCCGTCGTGTCTGGATACTTTCTGTCCAACCAACTGTTTTCGGTCGAGAGTGTGTGTGACCAGCTGTACTGGATGCTGATTTTAACCGGCGTCGGCTGCGGCATGATGATCTTTGTGCGCACCAACTCGATGGACAGATTTTTCTGCGGGTACCAGTTCAGTGCATTTGGGAAGGTGCTCGTGCAAGTGCCGTTCCAACTGCCCCCAAGAGATACCATCCTGGATTTAGACCGAGAGAACCACAGCGTCGTGACGATGCTCACACCTACAAGCCAAGGCAGCGATCGTGGGCTTATACTGTGGAATGCTGAAACCGATGGAAAAGATCACGAAAATCAAGCGCAGCGGGACTTTAGTTCATAAATATCTGTACGAGAATGAATTGGTTGTATATTGATATTGTGAATTCGCAATAAACTTCTAAATTTCGCATGGTTTGTCAATTGAATATTGAATCAAGCTGGAGTTCTGATTGGTTAAATATATTTGTCCATTCTGTAAGAGCCAATCAAATCCACTCAAAATTGGATTAGCCAATAGCGTGGATTCGTGATTCGATTCGGCGGGGTGTGGAGATTCGCCTGACCTAAACCCTATCGAAAATGTTTGGGGATGCCTGGCCCACAAAGTTTATGCAAACGGAAGGCAATTTGGCTCCGTTCAAGAGCTCCAGTCTGAGATTTTACGTCAGTGGGAGCCATTGACCAAGAGCTCTTCCATAAGCTTATTGCATCCATGAAATCGCGTTGTATCGATGTTCTGCAAGGCAAGGGGTCGTGTACGAAGTATTAATGTGTAAAACGATTAACATCGCATTATTTTTCGGTGTTTTAGTTCGCGTTTAACTTTTGTACCTTTCACTTCAGACCAGAAATAATTGTACTCATTTTACTATTTTACAGATTTTTCTGCTTTGATGCCGATTTTTCTGCTATTTTACAGATTTTTCTGCTTTGATGCCGAGTTACCATGGTTATTTGGTGCCAAAACATTCGTCCTTTCATTGCTATTCACGTGCTACAAATGCTATTGACGTTTTAGGTACCAGTACCTCAAACGTCAATAGAGGTACCAGTCAAAATGTTCGAGCAAAAAAATGTTGTACCTTTCATTGCCCAGCACTGTAGGAATGGCGCTTCGCGCATGAAATATCACTTACCTAGTATACACAACAACGTGCCGCACGAAGAGCCTGACATTCGGAACCCCGGCGCTCTGGAACCTACAGTACATAAGTTAGGCCGAAGTGCAGACTTCATTTTCAGGGGTTTGGCACATCACCAGTGGTTTGCTATCGCTAACCCCGGGCAATACGCCAAACCCCTCACGAATATCAGAAGCAAGCATATCTCCGCTACGCTGTGAAATGTCGCACACCCCCACACAAATCGATCAAGGTGCGACGAACTCCTAGTCATAGGGGCCTCCAATGCGCAATATAAACTGTGACAAATCGATTCGCGTAGCGAGTTGATCCCGTTACCGTTGCGAGGCCATAAATTCAAACCGCCGCAAGTAACCCTACACCCACAGTTCTTGGTAAAATATTGCGAAAAGTGTTAATACACCCGCGGCTTTCGGTAAAGTATTGATCGCCCAACGCATTCGTGTTGAGTGCAATCAAATTACAGCAGTCGAGTGTACCTGCGGGAATGTCGTTAAAAAGTGCGCTATAAGGAGTAGAGGTATAGTAGGTTGTACCTGCCAGAGAGTATCTATGATAAACATTCGGGTTTGGTTCAGATAATTGAATTAGTGTTGCACTGACTGTGAGAAAATCCAGTTAACAGATAATTCACACCTTTGAGTTGAAACCCCGAAACCCTCAAAGGTATAGTTTGACCATTCAGTTTTTGACCGAATGTATGATCTTGATTAAAGTATGCTGGATTATATTGACCTAAATTTTCATCTTGATTTAACTATGCAATATTATCTTGACCTCGATTTTCATCTTGATCAAACTAGGAACTCCAATGCAAAAGTCGTGTCACTTGTGCCTCGCTTTCTACAGTCCTATGGCAGCAAATTAGATACAGTATATATAGTAGATCATTTGTCCAAATGACAACAAGAAGCCGAGTATTGGTTCACGTGTGCTCAACTTGGTGTGGTACGCCGTTGAGGTGACCTTTATGACGGCAGGATTGGGTTTTGTGGTGGTCGCAGTGTGGAGATTTGTGAACCCAACGGGCAGGCGAGTGGTGTACGGCGTCCTCTTCAATGCTTCGGACATGACACCACCAACACTTGTGTCCAGTTTGACTTTAACCTACATCTACACACAGTTTGCCGCCGTCCGAGTACTCCGTCCTGACGTGCACAATGTGAATCTGCTTCGTTGGGCCGGGCAGCAGGCCTGAACATGTTCTGCGGACTTTAACAACTATGAACGTAGCCGACATGAAAGCTCATGTCGACCTCATTGCGCTGGCAATTGCAACAGAGCCAAAACCTTGTGCTGCCGTTTTGATCGGCAACGACGATATGGCTGGCATGCCAATGGACACTGGTGAAACAAACCAGATGAGACTCGAGTAGCTGTACATCAAGCGCTCACGCCTTGAAGGACTGCCAACCCGAAACAAACCACCGTGGACCATATTTCAGTGGGAATAGCACAGATGGACACCCAGTGGCTCAATATCTCGTTGGTCACTTTCTGCGACGTTGTGGGGGTGAATATCTATGTAGCACTGCGGGAGGAAGCGTGTGTAGTTGAGGGCAAAATGCACAATGAATTAACTGAAGATCTACAAAGATCTCCTTTATCCTCATCACTATGAAATCTTCTTAGTCTACTTCACTACTTCTACACTAATATGCATTTTTGTATACAATGGATGCGGGTGCGGTTCAGACATTGGGGAACTTCACTAGGCTAGCGATTCTAAGCCATACTTGCCATTGAGACACATTCCCAGGCAAGCATTAGCTAGGGTGCGTCATGAGGCAAGCCGTTAACCCACCTGTCACATCACTATATATCTACCTCAACGAGAACGACACAATCTCAAGTTTAGACGCAAGGTGGACAGTGATCAAGGCCACGTTTGGCAGTAAAGCACGATTGACAATCACCAAGTCCAACCCTACGAAGTCAGCCCTGTTGGAGTTTGAACGATAGGCTCGAAGCGTAGACAACGGTCCTGTCATTTACTCTCAATATCGTAGCGCACAGCTCAAGAATTAACCATTCACAAGGACTATTATTAATAGAATGATTTTCCATGTCCATCGTGCACGAACGATGACAATAGTCGCTTTGCAATGAGGGCATTGCATACTAGTATGGGGCATTCGCATCGATGATTTATCCTCTTAGTCATGTACTCGAGTGAACAGCCGCCGCAAAAGAGATATCCACACGTTGTCGCATTGGGAAGTGCCAAATCCCCCAGGCAGATCGGACAGCTTAACGCGACGAGCTAACTTGGTCTGCTCGCTATAATTTCTTGGAAAGTGACCTCGTTGCATCTGGCTCGTCGTCTACTGCATCACCCCAAGGAGTGTCATGCAGCTTGGAGGGACATTGGCCGACTCGTCAAAGTCCATCAGAATGCGGTCGCATAGTTCGCTGGTGGGCGTCATACTACAACAGCGTGTACAATTGAACTGAAATAAAAACTTGGTGGAACGAACTTGGAAATACGAAATATAGGATCTTACATGGGGGCTGGACGATTGGTTCCAAAATCTAACTGAAAGTAAGTACTCCGGATTAGTAAAGCACTACACCGGCGATCGGAATTAGTGCGGATTCAGAATTAGTGTGGCTTCAGAATGAAGTGTAAGTTCTTAGTGGGGACCGCACGCATATATGTGTGATGTGGTTGGTAAGTAATTAGTGCGGATGAATTTCGTGCAATATTGGGTGTTTGGGGTGTATGCCACAAGGCTAATTTGCTCTGGTAGTCGTAGAAGACATCGTAAAGAGCATAATGACCATTGTATATCGCGTGTATGCACTATAGACTGTTTTACATAAATGCCGATTTGTGATGTGTTTTTAGGTGACATTCCCGGCTAACAAATATCAAGCTAATAGCCATTTTTGTTCAACATTGGTGCGGTCCCAAGCCCATAATTAATGCGGATTGAGATATAGTACCATCCACACTAAATACGGTTGACGGTGTAGTATTCGGCACCATGCATACTCGTACAATTTTTCTACTACACCTCGTCCACAAAATGGAAGTAATATAAGTACTGGTTGGTACATTTTGTGGACGAGCAACTACAGTACTACTGGTATGACGATTAATAGTACAGTCTGATGCAAAACGTAAAGACACCTATAATTTCACCCATAACTTGATCAAATTTAAGTTGAATTGCAAGGTTTTGATATCGAAATCATCGTAGGCATCATGGTCGGGGTCGTCGTGAGCCTCACGGTCGTCTTGGTTGCTTGTGTGCATGGGGCGACGGTCGAAAGTTTTGCCGCACCCAAAGAGTGCATTCATCTCGTTGTAGAATGGACAAATGCTCTCCAATTTGCTCTCGATGTAGATCTCTACATTATATCAGAACGGAAACATATCGTGTTCAAATATATACTCTTTTCGAAGTCCTTGTCAGTCAAGCCTCGCCCACTCTTGCTTGGCCCGCTCCATCGTAGTGCCCGGCGTTATGATGCCACGTACGCGTCGTATCTAAGGCGTATTTAGTTGAATGTCGATTGAATACATCGAGATGTACCTTGATTTGGCATCCTGTGTCGTCCACGGACGCACAGCTGGCACAACCTCGTTTACGTACTCCGCAAGCCTTGCCAGGCCATGCGACCGAGTCAGCTTTTGACCTCCTTTCATTCGTTTGCTATTGGTGACCTACCCAGTCAGCAGCGCAAAGTTCTCGGGTATGCGCAGAAACTCGAGCATCGCCATACGCTCCGACCGTGAGGTTGAGGCGCGCTTCGACCTCTCCATAGCTGTGTTTTGGACTTTGTAACCGACCAGTAGTTATGTGTATCTTGATTGGCTATCACTACACTATCTTCACGCTGATTGGCTTAAATTCTGATTTTCACTTTTCGTTTTTGAAAAGCTACTCGTGAGGTGCTTTTGCTTTTCGTGACGAAAAGCAAAACGCGAAAAGCAGTTTTCAAAACGAAAAGCAGTTTGGTTTCTATATTGACTCCCCCTATTGTAGTACTGTACTACATACTACTACAGCAGTACGCATTAATAGTACTCTAGTAATTCCCTTATATTATTAATTCATCGGTTTGGGTTTAATAGATTGAACCGTGGAATGATAATCACTGCTCTGATATAGCAATAAACTTAACTGTAAGTACAGCCTAAAAAACTGCCGACTTGTCGTGTTATTATTGATTTGGTTCGGGGTTTCGGATCACGTCAACCAAACTGATCATGAATCGCTCGCATTGGTCAATCTGGAAATCCTTCTCGCTGAACTGGTTTCCTTCTTTTTTCTCTTTGGCGTTACTTCGTGCTTTCTGCAGAATCCAGAAAACCAATGAAACTTCGAGGCGAGATTTGTCATCGGTTTTACAAATCGCGCCGAATTGGGAAATTTGTAGCAAATTCATAATCTACACTAGTACCACTCCGTCCCAAATCACTGACACGTTTGGACATTCTATTAGTTGTGAAATGAGAAAACAATCAATTTTATTAAAAATATTACTTTATCCAGTACAGTTGAGCCAATCACAAGGAAGGTGACATGGGTACATTTAGGTGACATTGACATATTCCTGGGAATTAAATTATACAGCCGAAGTCACCTCTTGTTTTCGATATATTTGAGACAATCTCCATACATTCTTCAAGTCCGGTGAACATTTGAAAATTTTGGGTTGAGAGGCTGATTTTATTTGAAGAATACACACGCAGTTTTTGGACGAATGGCAATATAATTTTATGACCTTATAGCCAAGATCCTACTCTTTTGGTTGGTACAAATTTCACACAAATCCAATGATTGGTCATAATACCACAATGTGGCAAACATCAAACGTGTCAGTGATTTGGGACAGAGTGGTACTGTATTGTGCATTTCACCCAAATTTGGACTTGAGAGTCATTTCGCGAAATAGCTTTCGAATCTATTTGATCGTATTTAATCTTGTATACACTATAATATACAACGATTAGTATATATATGGTTTTGCCCAAAGGTCAAAACGTTTGGATTGGCAGAAATTCGACATACGTGATTTGATTCTTCGTTAATCGATTTGACAAATACGAGTTGCTAAACCTCTCTATTACTCCTGGAATTTACTCAGTCAAGCGTAGTCCAATCGATACACGGAAATAACTCGGGTGGTACGAGCATTTCTTGACATCGATTCAAAAGCGCTGCGCATGTAAATCACTTACCAGCCTTCGCGTGGTTCACACAGGAGTATATATATGCACATTTAATCGTCAGTAGGTTAACAGCATCCTCTACACGTGGCGGATGTGTTTGGCACCATACCCTTCGCCACTCCAGAGCACAAATCCATCGGCGTTAGCGTCGACGCTTCGAGGAGTGTGCGTCGTGAAACTCATGCTGTCCAGCACGTCCTCGTTCGTGGCATGTTGACGTCCAAACGGCACCTGGACGAGCACTTTGTTGCAGGCAGTCAGCTGGTACCCACAGAAGAACCGGTCGCTGGAATTCGTGCGCACAAATAACATCAGCCCCAGCGCCGTGGCCGCTAAGACGAGCATCCAGTGCAGCTGCACCTCGTACGAATCGATGGTCAGGGTCGTCCCAGGCAGGAAATGCCATGCAATCGCAGCCCCCAGCGACCAACTCGTCCAGATGAGCCCGTACATGGAGCCCGAATTGTACACCCCAAACATATCCGTAACGAAACAAGGCATGAGGGCAAGCCCGCCCCCCGAAGCGAACGTCAGCGCGTTGGACAGCCACTGGCGGGTCAGTAAATCAACGTTGAATTGCGGTAGAGCCACCAGCGCCACACATTCCAAGGCCAAGAGGGCCACAAATACCATCTTTCGAGCAAATGCTGGGTTGGCATACCACACTCGAATCAACACGTCCGACGCGACGGTTGCCACGAGCCGCCCAGATAAATTGGCCACTGTTTCCAAGTAATATTAGATTATAGGGGTTATCGAGAGTGGATGGACGGACGTACAGTATGTGTAAAACATGAACGTCATGTTGTCAACGTGGAACAAATCTTGCAGGCTTTGGGCTTGAGGGATGAACACAACAATCGGCATGATGCTGGCGGCAAATGCCACATACATGCAGACAAAGTCCGTCGAGAAGATGCACTGGAGTAAACTCAACGCTTTGACTTGCTGGAAATAGTGGCCGTCTGTGCCCTCCAGTTGGCTTTGCACGGCCAGGTAGTTGACAAATGTCATACCTATGTGTTCACAGTCGCTCATTAGACATCTCATTCAGCATAAGAAAGTAGTTAAAATGGGGTACCAATTTTGAGGTATTCATCTTGCACGAGGTCGGGGGATGGCGCGCGGCTAGCTGGGATGCAGTGCGTGTCGTGGCCACGCACGGTAAATGTCGATGGGGGGGTTCGAATGATTAGCGTGCATACCGCCAAGATCAAGACAGTCGCCGTTCCTATTCTCATGTCGAGGTAGAGTTCATATGTAATTTGTAAGATGGATATTGAGTACCTGTGACCCAAAACAGCTTGTGGATTTCATTGCGCGCTACATACACAGCAAACACCTTGATGAAGACGGCATTCCCGACACCAAAAGACACGACCGAGAGTCCAGTGATGGACCCGCGAAGATCTGGAAACCATTTTTGGACTGTCGAAAGTGACGTAATTAGAAGCAGGCCAAACCCAATGCCAACCGCCACGCCATAGGCTACAATGAGCCAGCGCAGGTCCTTCCGCGCGACCCCTGCCTGGGCCAAGATATGGCCCAGCCCCACCATGATCGTTCCAATCGCCATTCCTACGCGGGGGCCCTTGCGCTCCAAGAAAGGCCCAGAGAGAGCTGCGGTAGCCCCCAGACAAATGTACCCCAGCAGCAGCGCTTGCATGCATTGCTTGGACTTGGCCCCCGAAAAGAACGCGTCCAAGTCGTCTGACACCAGCGTAAACGAGTAAATCGACCCGGAGCAGAACTGAACCAAGCAGCAAGCGAGGCACAGACACATCCGGTGGAAGCGGATGCAGTCCAGCCGAGCAAAGAAGTTGTTTCCCATTGGCAGCACAAACAGCCACTGCTCCGCCATGGCCTCTGCAGGGGACTTTGTAGGCACGACCACCGTCCAATAGCTACAGACTCCGCCCATGACTTAACACAATGGCAAATGAAACCAGGCAATACCACCTGCCAAACGTCGAGGTGAAACCGTGAAACCGCTTGATACTTCCAAGTTTTCCATTGTTTTAGAATAAATTCCCCGATTAGTATTGTGGATACGGTACAAATTTCCAGACCCCGTCGAATCGAATCACGAATCGCGCTATTGGCTAATCCATTTTTGAATGGATTTCATTGGCTCTTGCAGAAAGGACAAGTATATTCAACCAATCAGAACTCCGGCGTGATTCAATATTGGTTTATAGCGAATTCACAATAAATACTTCAGCTTGTTGGAGTCGGAAATATCAGCTGTAACATTACTGTACTGTTAGGAATCCTTGACCATACTCCCTCCTGTACTTCAGTAGACTACGCATTTGGCTTTGTTCACAATGAAATCATCAATAATAGACCAGTCGCACTCTTTAAATCTAATACGGTACTAGTAGCTAGTTACCTCGAATCTGCTGCTAGGTCAGCGAGTAGAACTTGATATCCGATCACGAGCTGTTTCGAGGATGGCCAAGCTTCCTTCGACGACGTCAATAGGAATTCCGGGCCCGCCGCCGATTCGCAGCACCACTTTGCCGCAAACGCTGTACTGGTACCCAAAGTAGAACCGGTCCATGGAATTCGTGCGCACGAGGAGCGACGCCACCCATCCTACGGCCACCAGGATCAAAAGCCAGTCGAACTGCCGCCCCAGCGATTCTTGGGTCACTCGAAACGCAGCAAAGGCGTAGCCCACGACCACAGCTCGGAGAGACCAGCAGGTCAGCGCCAAGCCACACATTGTGGCCGTGTGATACACCCCAAACATGTCTGTGACGTAGCAGGGCAGCAGGGCGAAGCCACCCCCGGAGCAAAATACGACGACGATCAACACCAACCGAAACGAGTCAAATGACGTGGCAGCGTGAGCGACTGAGAACGCCAAGAGCTGGGCGGTCAAGAGCGCCACGAACACAGCCTTCCGGGCAAAGGCTGGGTTGGCATAGAAGACTCGAATGAGCATGTCCGAGACGAGAGGGCACAGCAACCGGCCGATAGAGTTAGTCACTACAACATATCAAATTAGGTTGGGAATAGAAGGGGCTTTGGGATCATACAAAATCCTTGAAAGACCAAGAGGTTGGTGACGTCGCTCGGTTGATTAAATACGCCAGTGGCAATGTCATACACTTCTGTGGCAAACAGCATGCCTGGAATCGCATTGGCGGCAAAGCCAATGTACAGCAAGACAAAATCGGCCGACGCAATACACTGGAGTAAACTCATAGCTTTCACTTGCTGAAAGTAGTGCACGTCTGTCAGCGTGTCATGGTGGTCTTGGAGGAGATTGTAATTCACCAATGTCATTCCTAAGGCGATTGTTAAAACGAAACGGTCGGTTACAGCTGGTATTCGTTGGTGAGGTCACGGTACCGGCTTTGAGAAACTCGTCGTGAACTACGTCGGGGTTAGGGGCTCGACTAATGGGAATGCCATGGATGTCTTGACCGTTCACTTCAAACGTGGTTGGAGGGGTACGAATCACACACCCACACAAGCATAACGTCGCCACAAGGCCCAACCCTACTCATTGCACTCAATTCCACTGGATCGGGGAGAGGTAGGTAGATAGGCAGGTGGCACCTGTGCTCCAAAGCAAGTTGGGAATGGCAGATACATCTGTGACAGGATCGTATGGCCCAGCGCGCTTCAACATCCAAGTGTACAATAGTGTAAAACCACAAAAGCCAAGGCCAAGACCAAACATGCACAAGCCACTGGCCAAACCGCGGTAGTCTGGAAACCACTTTTGCACCCCGCTTGTCAGGGCTATCAGCGCCACCCCAAAGCCCGTGCCACTGAAGCCACTGAACCTACTCGTTTTGGTTAGTACATCGAAAGAGGAGAAATGTTTACATCGTACCCGATGGCTAAAAACAAGGGACTCTGGCCCACAACAGCCAGCTGCGCCAGAAAATACCCCATCGCCACCAGGCCGGTTCCAGTTGCCAAGCTCACTCGGGGTGGATTCGTCTCGACAAATGGACCGATAAATGCAGCGCTAAAGCCGAAAAACACGAACGACAGAAGCATCACTTGAATTGTGGCGCCAGTGTGGTGGCCATAGAAGTACACGTCGAACCCTTCCATCAACGTGTTGAACGCCATAAAGGAGCCGATGCAGGCATGTCCCAGGACGCACACAACCAGAAGCCGCCACCGATTAAACGCGATACATGAGGAACTGACGAACTCGTGGGGGCCAACCCACGGTAACACAAACAGAAACTCTTCCGCGGTGAGTTCTGCCGTGGATTTGACGGGCACGACAAGGCGCCAATAGTTTGCAATGTAATCCATTGTTGCGAAGTCCAAAAATGGCTTGCTTTTGTTTGGCTATTTCTTGTCTGGCCATCTCTCTGGCAGAGATTGGCACTTCGCCTGTGGCTGGAAAGTAAAGTTCCTCGAATGTTCCTATACCTGTCGATATCTCATGCTTGTAACAGTGTCGATCTGATCTAGCACCAGAGTCGTAGAAGTTGCTGCGTGAATATGCCTAACAATTTGTGGTGCGGAAAAGATGCAGTTCATGCACAATGTGTTCCAGCGTAGTGCTGCTAGCGTTTAATAAAGGGTTGCACCAGTGATTGTACATGTGACTGAAGCAAATAATGACACCACAAGTGAAGACTTAAACTTGAGAAATGCCCGGGTTCTTATAGGTTTATAATAGAAGTCAGGTAAATATGTAGAGAGTGCAAGGAATTGCATTCCAAGTCACGAGTTCAAAGGGAATACTACCGATAGTAGTACTCGTGCAATCATCTCGCCTGCGTAACCGTGGGGTGTTTCTGAGAATGTGCAGAGATATCTTGATGCAGGGCGTTAAAGTCGTAGCAGATGCTAGCCACTCTACAAAACCTTTAAGCTACCCCATGGCATGCCTACTCAACTATTGGTCCATTGTCGTGCCCACAAAGTCTGCCAATGAACTCCAAGCAGAGCGCTGGCTTGTGGTCGTGCCTGTAAGCACCTCCGACTACGCCCGCATGCACTGGGTTCTGTTCTCACGGTGGCAACTCTTCGCTGTTTGTTTTGGCACCCAAGTCTGTTGTGGCTCCCTCTACGCGTTCGTGGTCATTTCCGACGCGTTGGACGTGTATTTCTACGGCCAAGTCACGAAACAGTCGTATTCGATTGTGCTCATCTTCATGGGGGTGACTGCAGCCCTACTTGGACCGATGCTGGAACGAAAGAGGCCCCGTGTGGGCATGGCTATGGCCACCGTGTTGATCACCCTCGGCTTTGTTGTATCACAATTGGCGGTCGTGGTTCACAGCCCCATATTGCTTACCTTTGGGTAATTATATAGCCATGGCGTTGATCGCTTCACCTTGTAAAATACACTAATCGTTGCCTGTAGGTACAGCTGTCTGTGTGGGATGGGGTTTGGGGTTGCTATCATCGCGACGATTTCATCAGTTCAAAAATGGTTTCCGGACCTCCGGGGCCTTGCCAGTGGCTTTTGCCTCTTGGGGTTTGGCCTTGGCAATGGTGTGTGTAGTTTGGTGTACTCGCGACTATTGCACCGCGAGACCATCTACGACCCAACTTTTCAAATCGACGGCGTGACCAACTTGTTTTGGAGTACTGGTACGTTCTAGTAATACTAGTTACATGTACTAATCGTCCAATTACTACTATGCGTCCAGGAACAGTGGTTGTTCTCATGTTGATCACTTGCACGTTGGTGATTCGCACCCCGCCCATATCCTTCTCAATGAATGGCCAAGACATTCATTGTGTACCGGTGAACATGGCTCCTGACCCGCGGGTGATTCAAGACGAGTATCTGAAAGTTGGTAAGCATCGTCCAACCAACTAAACTAATTGATGGCACGAAATAGGGATGACGTTGGTCAACTACTCTGCTGTGCATCACGAGCTAGAAGGCACCGACGGCCACTACTTTCAGCAAGTGAGAGCCATGACGCTCCTCCAGTGCATCCTCTCGACGGATTTCATATTTCTTTACATTGCGTTTGCTGCCAATGTGATTCCGCTCTTGGTATTTGTGCCCCAAATCGTCTCCTTGGCGGCTGGCATGTGGCATTTACCCCCCAGTGAAGTGAACAAGGTGCTTATCCAAGCCTTTGGTCAGCATTAGTTATTTGTTATCCTCCCCCCGCTCACATTGTTTTGCATCCTAGTCGGCAACACGTTGGGTCGCTTCATGGCCCCACTTATCTCGGACGGGTTAGTCCGGCTGCTGTACGTGAACCCAGCTTTGATGCGGAAACTGGTCTTTACTGCGCTGCTGACCATCCAAATCTGTGCTTTCGCCCTCGTGATCTCCGATTGGAGCAGCCCCAGACGAGTTCAGTGGTTGGCAAGTATTGTTACATTCGCATCCGGCGGGGGTTTGGCCATGATGCCTTGCTTTATCACCGACATGTTTGGGGTGTACCACTTGGGCACGATGTACGGGCTGATTTTGACCAGCTATTCCCTTGGGGGGGTCGTTGTCGGCTACGCCACGACTACTTCGTCCATGCAAGTGACCTTAGAAACATTGAGCCAGCAAAGCCAAGCGATGCTGCAGCTGGTCTTGTGTGGTTTGTTGGTCATGCTTTTCGTGCGCACCAACTCGACAGATCGATTCTATCGCGGGTACCAGTACAGCGCCTGTGGGAAGGTGCTCCTTCAAGTGGCATTTCGCAGACCCATCAGTGAAACGTGTGTCGAGGACGACAGCGTTGTGATCTTGGACGAGCCTACGCCTCCGCCGATGCCTCGAACGTTTACACTGTGGAATGAAGATCTCGATGGGGCCAAGTATAACATCTAACCTGTTCGAATAATTACTGACGTGTCAAACCAGGCTTGCAACCGCATTTTCGATATGTCGTGTTCATTAGGATGTGCGGAAGTTGATGGGGCTATTCGTTTTTGAATTTATCACCGGGAGGTTGTATTTAAAAGTGTGCTGGGCTGTACGGGGAGTTTGCCTTATGAACCGATAATCGATTTGTGTGGCTCTTGGTCATAATACTAGTATTAAACTCCCTATACTAGCGTACCAGCTGATAAATCATAACTTATTCATCATGCCATGCCATGATAACGGACCGTAATGGTTCGATTCACGCCAAGTTGACATTCGAAGGGTGTACTGCAGACTTCGAGACATACAAATGCCTAGAGTAGTTAGTACAGTACCAAGAAATCCAGAGCTCAATCGGGCTCTCCTACAACTACCGGTACTACATAGTTCGAAGTAGTATACGATTACAGTACTAGTACTGTTAACGTTAATTTCAGCTTTTTTTCAAAATATTTCCACCAACCTCCGATACATTTCACCTAAGGTAGTGCATCAATCTTCCGAACGGCATGAACCTTCCGAACGATTCGAGTTTTATCCAATCAGATTACTCTAATTTGCATCACTGATTGGTAGTGATAATATACATGGCAGTAATTATATAACGTAGATGGCCAGTTTATGGTGCACTGGAAAGAGACTTCGTCGTAGAATGCAGCTTACTCGATCCCAGGACCGGGATTTCAATTTTGAAAAGTGCTGCATGAAGCCGAAAGGTTGGGCATTCTTCTGATTATTTAATCGGCTTGAATAGACTTCAGCTTAGCGTTCATTTACTTCGATTCCCCTCAAGTCAAGGCAAAATAGGAGGGACGGTTTATGGTGCACGGTTTAAGCTTAAAATATGTATGCTGTTTTTGATTATTTTTTAGTGATTTCATTTTTCTAGTGATTCGATTGGCTACTCCAAAACGCAAGCAATTCCATTGGCCAATTTGAGTGCACCTTAAACTGTCCCGTGCACCATAAACTGGCCATCTACGTTACTTGGAGTTCAAACGAAAACCCAACCAATTAGAACCTGTTCCGACTAAAACTCAGAATGGGGTAGAGCCAATCAAATCGTCGTATTTTTCATTCTATCTCATTCGCAAACTCTTTTTTGCAAATTTACCTTCGGGAGGTCATACGAGGTGGAATGCATATTGATTGGTGTAAACAAAGATAAGCTGTATCCAATCAAAACTTAGTCAACGACGTCGTTGCAGCCTCCATTCAAGTGCAAAATGGATGACGCTCTTGTCCTCTGTGTTGCTGTTGCGGTTGCCATCGAAGCCGTCTTCTCGTCGACCAATGGCCGTAGCTACCGCTCCCCCATTACAAACCACTTTGTCGTACCGAGCAATACTTGGACTATTGTCCAGAACACTCCTACTCTTGGCGCATGGTTCACGCGATACCTTCGCTGCACGCGTGGCACATACGAGCGTATCTGCACCAATGTTGAGGTGGCATGGCATCGCGTTCACCCCTTACTCCATCACAGCAACACAATGAGCATCCGTGACCGCGGTGGCCTGCACGCTGCACTATCTCACGCATTCGGACGGATATGAATCAACCGCAGCACTATTTGGCATATCCAAGACGCGCGCGCGTACGAGTATTGTAATCAAGTAATACTGGTCATTCAACTCTGCTACGTCTTGAAAACAATTGTGTTGCCGTCATCACGTGCGGAGTGGGAGCTTGTCCGCGAAGGGTTTGAAGAGCACGGTTTTCCGAATGCGTACGGCGCCATCGATGGCAGCCTCATTCAGGTGAAGCGTTTTGACGACTTCTATGGTTGGTACTGCCGCAAGGGCTTTCCTGCGTTCAACATGCAGGCCGTTGTTGATCACCGGATGCGTTTTATGTCCTACTCGTTGCGTTCCGGCAGCCAGAACGACAAGGCTCTCTTCAACGACTCAGCATTTGGGCAATCGTGCCACACGAAGGTTCCCCCCGGCGGTTGCTTTTTGGGCGACGCTGGCTACAAGCTCTTCGCACATGTAATTACTCCGTACTCTATCGTCTCGCACATGGATCCAAAAGAAGCCAACTACAACCTGGTCGTTGAACGTGCTTTCGGTCGCTGGAAGAACAAGTTTCGTATCTTCAAGCACGAATTGCTGCATCATTGCCCACAAGACATGGCAAGATTGATCGAGGTATCTTTAGTCCTACACAACTGGTATATTGACTATGACGACGATTTTGTGGCCCCGGTGGAACCCGAGATCTATCCACGGTGGATGCACATCGGCGGTGATCTTGTCAACGTCGATGAATTATACCAAGTCGATGGCGCTGCAGCCAAGCGTGCTCGTGACACAATCAAGAACTATCTCCACGCATTGTTGTAGTATATATATTTACTTATATATATAAGTAAATATATATATAAGTGAATATAAATATATATACATAAATATATATATATATACATAAATAAATATATATATATACATAAATAAATATGTATATATCAACTATCTATAGAAACTATACATATATACATAAATAAATATGTATATATATTGTTGTAAAACTAATCTAGTGATTTTCATGGTTCTAATGCTTGGGCTATTAATCCAATGAATTTCTTGGATATAAATCATGGAGTATCCCTACCATTACAATTGTCGGTAAAAATAGCTTCAATTGTCTTATTTTTGGAACGATCATCAATGTAGTATGAGATTGCCTTTGGACTAGGGTTAGAGCTGCCATATGCTAGACACTGTAATACATGGCTGCCAATATAGATTAGAACTTAGACTCTAGAAAGGCCAGAAGCTTCATTTGAACCTCGTTGGAGCTGTCGATGCTTGCTTTCGTGTTTTCAGCAACTTCCAACAGTTTGGACATTTGCGCTGTCATGTCCGGTGCGCCGCTGGTTGGGATACTTCTGACGTTGGCTGCCTGAATGATCGCAGCACCTAGCGTGTTACCAAACTTCTCAAGCCCCAAGCTAA